GCCACCTAGAAGCAACCCAGACACAGAAAAAGACTCACTTCGGCGATTTTCCGTTCTAAATCACTTTCCACAAAAAGTTTATCACACGCCAACTTATAAAGATCCTTTTTCTCCTTCCAAGACTATCAGCAGTAACAATTTCTATATAGACACCGACTTGATATGATTTTTCTATAATTATTTTTCCTTTTACTGCATTGTGGGAATGTGAGGGAAATTGAATGTGCTGCACTGGTTTTTGTTTTGTTAAAAAAAATAAATTGGTTTTTTAGAACCAAACCGGAACCGGACGGTTCTGGTCAGGTTTGATTCCAACCTTACATGGGACTGTTCCATGTATAAAATTCCCATTTTCAATTGGTTCAGTCCTGCCCACCCCTATCTTGCTTTCAGAAGCCATTGAAATATAAAATAAGTGCATCATAGTTCATGTTTCATTACGGGAAAAGCAAAGCATGAAACAGAGACTCTAAAAACTTGCAAAATCCTAATAACGTATAACCGACATTGATGCAAATATTTAAGTTGCAAACCAAATCCTAAGTTAACTGCCATATTAGAACAATTAGGGTTGGACATGGTCCGGTTCGGTTCTGTTATGAAGAGAATCGAACCAAAATTTTCGAGTATTTAATAAATGGAACCTTCGGGTCCAAATATAATTTTGGAACCGTTCGAGTCGATTCTGTTCGGTTCCGTACCATAATTAAATTTTTTAACAGATTTTTAATGGTCTACGATTGGTGGTCGTGATTGGAGGTCGCGACTTCGATGGGCATTGGAGAGGGGAAGTCGGACTCGACAGTGAGCGATTTCGATTTGGGCATGTAGATATAGGTTTTCAATTTATGAAATGATTTGGGGTCATTGACTCAGTGGTTACCTAATGAAAGTGTGAAATTGGAAAAAGAATGATAAAAACTTAAAAAAACTTAAATCTTGGGCTAAGAATGAAATAAATAATAAGACCAAAAAATTGAATTTAGAAATTGGGCTGGGCTAGGTAACTAGGCATGGACTTGACTTGGAAGTTAGAACATTAATCACTAAATCAATTAATTTGCTAATTTGTTTAGAAAAATTAAAAAAATTAATTAATTCAAAATAAAAAATTAAAACAATTATTTAAATTCGATTCTTCGATTTTGGGTCTAGAATCGAGAACCGAACCAAACCTGTCGGTTCTTGATTCAGAT